ATCACCTGATCTTTGGTTGCCGGTATTGGCCGTCACACTCCGATTCCTACTAGCTTGATTGGCACCTTTTGCTACTTCTCGAATCGATTTCATGCGTGTGAGTCCACCGCCAGAGCGACTGACGTTCCGCCGAGCTACGACTCCTGGATCCTGAGGCTTGATGGTTGGCTCGCTGGAGCCAACGGTATTTTCGCTTGGCGGCGCAGGTGTATGTGGTGGGGGGTGTGATACAGCTTCTGGTTTATCCTTGGGAATTATGTCGTTGTCGGTTGCAACCTTAGATGCCGGGGATGAAGGGGGTGACATGCCCTGCCCGTCAAGGTAAGGGGTATCGAGGTCAATGTCCGGGAAGAAGTCATCGAGGTGATCAATAACGCCCTCGACTGGAGGTCTGCTTGCCCACAGGTCTCCTTGGGCAAAGGAATCCCTGCGGGGCGGCTTCTCTTCCTCCGGCGAAGCACTCATGTCAAGGAAGGACGCGTTCCTGTTGCCCGATTCCCCGCTTGAACTGGCGAACGTTTCGCGGGTAGCACTTGGGGACCTGAAGCTAACGGATAATCCTTTCCGTAGCCTGTTCTCAGTGTTCAGTGTGAGAGACGGTTTCCCGGCTCGCCTTTGCGACTCGGGCGAGACGGACACAGGCGGGTTCTCTTTAACCGGGGTCTTGGTACTCGCGATGGGAATGGCAAAAAGACCATCATCGGAGTCCTCGTCGGAGTCTTCCTGGGGCTGCTGTGGCACCGGTGACCCTTGGAATGAGACCTTGGTCTCCTCAAAGTCAAATTCGGGTCCAAATGACTTGCGAGACTGCAGAGTCGGTCTTGGTTCCTGAGGAGTCGCAGAACCAGGTTGTGCCGGAGACTGGCTCGAATGCACCGTCGGCGTTGTTTGGTTATCTTGCTCCGATGATTGCGGTCCTTTGAACTCCTGACTGGCGGCAGGTGGCGTGGGAACTGATGGAGATGGGGTTCCAATGGCACTGGTCATCCTACCAACACTAGCCAATACCGCTCCGAGACCATGAGTACCATGTGGTTGCGCGGTAGTCTGTATGCGGGGCCGCTCAACATCCTTCTTCCTTAGTGAGTTGACTTTAGTCAGTGTACTTGACTCGTGAGGCGCAGTGGGAGGCTTGCGAAGGGGCACGAGCGGCTCGGACTTCTTGTCTTCGTAAGGAGACGTGCGAGGCTGATCAAAATCAATGACACCTTCACGCCTGTATCCAGTTTCGCCATAGACATCTTTTCTCGGCTGTGGCATCGGGGGGACCTTTGAGATGCGATAGGCCCTCTGTTTCCGCTCAACCTCACGCATATGTTCGTCGTGACGAGCTAACAAGTCTGCCTTCTCGGCATCAGTAGGCAGTCCTGCTTCGGCGCCACCATCGACTGGGGACGTTGTGATTGATGGTTGCGAGGCTGGCGGTAGCTTGGAACTGGGAGCTTTGAGCTGCTGCCGTGAAGACACTTGAGGAGACGTAGGCTTGGCTGGGTTGTGAGGAGATATCCTGCTGAGAGCTTCATCGTCAAGCGGCTTTCTATGCAACTGGTGAGCAGATGTGGGTGAGGCTGTGCCCTTCTCTGGGATCGAAAGCCCCAAGCCGTAGTGAGTGGAGCTATTCACACCCAGTTGCATATGGGGCCCTCGTACAAACAGCTTCAATGAGCCAACCGTGTCTGACTTTGTCCGCCGACACAAAGCCAGGCTAGTGTCATTCAACGGCTCATCATGTTCAGTCTGCCCGGGCTCCGTCATGAAAATCTGCGCCCCAGTCCAATCAGCGATTCCAAGGCTTTGACAAATGGCAGAACGCAGTGTCTCCACAGAGTCCATCTCGGTTATGTCGACCAAGCGATAGTTCCATCCGTCCAGAGTCACAAAAGTCCACTTTTTGCTCTTTTGCATTGGCTTGTTACCTCGCAACGCCAATCGTTCATGGTCCGACATGGATGAAGACGACGGCCGCTCGCCGCCCAGCGACAACTCACTGGTGCTGAAATTTGGCCTATTATAAGGCAGCTGCGAGCTGTTCTGGCGCATGTTCACTGGACTGGTGGGAGACTCCAAAAATAGCTCCTCTGGAGACGGGTGGTTGGAATCGCCTGCCTTGGAACGTTTCTTGAAGAAGCCCAACAGCCCATTACGGTGGTCTTTGGGGTATGAAGATGGGGTTTCTCCACCAGATTGACGGTTGCTTGACTCCTGGGGCGAAGGGCGGACCCCGCCGTCTTGCCTGATCGATTCATAATACCGGCGACCAGTCGTCGAATCCGAACTGTTGCCGCGTGAGTGCTCGAACTTGACGCCTAGATCTCCCGTGGATGACGAGGGGCCTGTGTGTGCAAGAGTAGCATGCTGCGCTGCTGGACTGCCGCTCTTGGGACTGTCCTCGTAAGATCTAATAGGTATCTGAAATGTTCCGCCATCGCTGGACATCGAAGGGCTCTGCCTGTGATGCTCGCCGCCAATGCTAGACAAAACAGCTCGCGAATAGTCCGATCGGGACCACATTGTATTAGCTTCGCTCGGAGCAAGCTCGGAAGACGCATGATCATGGGTGGTTGGTATGGGTGTTGTAAAAGAACGCATCTGAACGCTCTGTCTTTGTCCATATGCGGGCTGTGGGGCCTTGAGATTAGGGCTGTTTGTGATATTCCCTGTAGGGCCCGCGGACCTGGGCTCGTAAGTCAATTTCGGTGAAGCGTCAGGCGCGCCATCGTGGGCGCTCATCGGGTGAGAGTCGCGCCGCTTCTGAATAGAAAACTCGGTATCATAACTGCCGTCATCATGGATCTTCTTGATCAAACGGCGCATGCGTTTGCCTTCTTCCCGTTCACGTATCTGATCCCAGGGAGTGCCGCTTGCTTCGCACACTTTTGCAAGATGAGGATAGACCACCTGGTGCATCTTGCCCAGGTTAGGTCGGCCATTTGACCCATGTCCTAGCTCGAGGAAGTCGGCCCCCTGAATTTCCAAAGACCTGAATGTTTCCTGCCAGTCCGTGGAGAACCCGTTATTCGCAAGCCATTGGAGGACACGATCGAGAGGCCATTGGACTGAGGCCTCATTTGGCGAGATGCCACCAAGCAATGTATTGTGGTTATGGCGAAGACTGCCCGATGTGGTCAGTTCCGAAGATGGCGCAGACGCCTGTTGTAGCGAGTTGTGCATGTTCGTGGCAGAGTAGTTGACTGAAGCCATATCATGAGCACCATCATTGACAGCTAGAGAGGAAGGTAGATTGCGAGTCGTAGAAGGAGTGGCAGGGACATTGGCATCCCGTTTATACGGAGAAGAGTCGGTGGCCGGATATTCGTAGGCTTGGGTAGATGGGTTCCGCTGTCTGTCGCTGGGCTGCATTGTCCCCGCACCGTCGTACGTGGAGTTCGAGTGTACGTCGAAGGGCGGAATCCCGACCCCCGGACCAAAAGTACCAGCTTGAGGAACGTAAGTCGCAGACGTCCGAGTTTCAGCGGAGGGAATCGACAAAGCTGCAGGACGCCCGTATGGAGATTGATTCGCAGGGACCATAGGGGGAGGCGGAGGAGGTGGAAGATACCCTTGTGAGAGTGCCTGCCGTGCCCAGCTCTGCTGCTGCCACCCAAGTGTATTCTGATGTTGCAGTTGGGGATTGGTAAGCTTGGAGGTGCCATATGCTGTCCCTGGCGGTGGTCCCGGGGGCGGCGGAAGCATAACGCCCTGCGACTGAGTAGGAGGATAACGAGGCGGCGGCGGTGGTAAAGGTATTATGTGCGATTGGGAGGGTTGTGTCGCCGACGAAGGCGGGGGTACGGGGATGTACTGCTGCGGCCGTTGACCGTCCATATTGGCGATGTCTGCGACGTCTCCAATGGATTGATGCAAGGAGGCGGATGTCGGAGTCTAATGAGCAGACAAATTGTCCTGGGAATCCAATAAGGTTCTGCTCTCATATACCTCACGGGGCTGCGCAATCAAACTTGTCCCTGAAGTGGGGACTGATAGATCATGAAAGCTTAGAACCCAAGGCAATTCCACATTGTCAGAGCTAGAACAAGCCGACACGACGCAATCGATGATGCCCCCTCGGTACGAGCAGCACTTGGGGCGGTAAATTTCAGCGACCAAGATGGAAGAGCAGGCAATCGCCGCTTCTCGAAGCACGTCAATCAAGCGCAGATAGCGTCCAGATCGGAGCGAACGACAGTACGTAAGCAGGAGCGGAGGGAGCAGAGGGACGGCATCAGCTTTTTCCACCTGATCAGGGAATGGACGGGGGGAGGAAGGAGGAGGAGGCTGGAAACTGGAGAGGTCACACGCAAGTCGAGCTGCAGACACAAACCGTAGCGAAAGGAACAAGTTGGGCGTTCTTCAGAGGGGTGTGTCAAATCCTTAAAGATAGCTGGATCTCCTAAAGTAAGTCAAATGGTAAGATTGCGGCAATCAACCCCTAATAGTCGGGACAAGTCCAGTCCCCCTCTAGCTTGATACTAGTCGAAGGGGGGGAGGGGAAATGATGCGGCGGAAGGCTCAACGGGGAAGCTAAGACATACCATTAGCAAAACCGCTGGGGATTCGACCGCACGGTGGATTAGTGGCAGGTGGCGGCAAATTAGCTGTCCACCGTATAGATTAATTAGGTGTTTCGTCAAGGAAAGGGACAGAGGCCTGCTCGCCAAATTCATATGGGGTAGGATACTTTTGAACGAGTAAGTAATCTAACGCGGCCCGCCCAGGGAAATCCTGAGGAGCTTTGATGCGCTGGCCGCCTTAGCGCCTGCGACTTTGTCTGTCCTTCCCGTCGATCACGTGGTGGTCTCCCCCCGATAAGCTGCCCAAACAAAGTCAGTCCCTTTTTCTCGCTGTCTCTCCCCTTTTCCGTCACCTTTCCATGGGCTTCTTAGACCCATCAAGTGAAAGGTGGGCCAACCCTTCCATTCCACTGAGTTACTGACAGTTGTTGCCCCCCCCCCCTGTACGTAGTTGTTCAGCCCTAGGGAACTACTACTCATCTCGCCCCTTTTCCTACTTGATTCCTCCTTAATTGGGCTGGTTCGTACTCAGACTCACTAACTACATTTGTACTACTATCCGTTGCCAAAGTGTTTATCTATCTGCTTGCCATTCCTCCCCAACTGTGGACTGTCTCACACGGCACGTTGGGCTGGCTGGCTGACTATCAAGCTAGTTCCACTATGTTTTCCCTTGGCATTGGGAATGTATGATAAGCACTAGACTCCCTAAACGCACCACCCAAGACCCCAAATCATCAATACGGAAAGGGCACGTGCGCATACAACTTGACTGGAATTCATTATATTTCGTATTCTGCAATTACACTACCGCTTCAGAGTCATGTCTGTTCCTCTCCAGGAGTGACAGGTCAAGCTAAAAGAAAGGGGAGAAAGGCGTTAACAGGAAGAAGCGAGATTGCCTCAAGGCCCTGGGGATCCTCCGTTACTTGTTTCTGGTGGCCGCCGCCTCAGCCGTGATTTTCAACGCGGCGGGAGCATCATCACGGGGCATGTGAAGCTCCACCAACTGTGCCATCTTGGTTAGCACTCTCCTGGACAGGATTGAAATGCTAGGGCAATGTATTACTTACTTGCAAGTGTGGCGCAGAAGCAAACTCCTGGTTTGCAAATAGCTGCCTCAGCTCATCCCGCGTCTTTACTTTGTAGCCCGTGTACTTGTCCTTGGCTCCAAAGGCCCGGGGCAGACCCTCAATATCCCACGGCTGGATGTCATTGTAGCTTTCGTCCCATCCGTGGATGTACCGCTCAATGGTGTATCCGTTATTGCAAATGACGAAGCTTGATGCGGTCAGTATCGTTATAATATGGAGCTTATCACCGTAGAAACACTTACATAATGGGATTGAGGTTGTTTCGGATCATAGTGCTCAGTTCTTGCACGGTGAGCTGAAGACTTCCGTCACCAACAAACAGAACAGTCCGACGATTGCCCAGCTCCTTTGCTGCCAGTGCAGCACCCTGACACGCCCCAACCGAGTAACCAATGCTACCCCACAGAACCTGGCTAATGGCAGTGACATTTGCCGGGAATCGGGTTTCCCAGATGCCAAAGTTGGCCGTGCCCGTCTCGGTGATAACAATATCATTCTCCTTCAGCCACTGACCAACATTGGGCCAAAGCCAGTCGTGCGTGATCTCCTGGTTGCTCGAAGTTTTCTCGCTCTCAGGAAGCGTGTTGGAGAGATGCGGGACTGGCGCGGCGTTGACAGCACCCATCCTCTGGATGACTTTGCGCAAAACTCCCTTCATGTTGATCTCTGGATATTCAGAGTATCGTACACGTACATAAGTGCTGTGGAAATCAATGGTGTTGAGCTGTCCGATGTGATAGGAGAAACCGCTGGTGTTAAAGTCCGACTTGATAGCACCGATGCTCAGAATAAGATCGGAAGATTCGACTTGCTCACGAACACCCGCGTTCGATCCAGTGCCAGCATACACACCGCCGTAGTTCGGGCGAGTCTCATCTACTGCTCCCTTGCCCATCGGAGCCACGAAGGTAGGCAGGCCGGAAGCCTCCATCAAGTCATGAACTTCATCAAGGACCCGATGACGGATGGCACAAGCATCCACCAGGATGACGGGTTTCTTCGCAGCATGCAAGTACTTCAGGACAACGTCCACCACATAATCTTCCTTCTCAGGGTCATTTGTCGGTAGAGAGAGATCCAGCGGTTTTTCGAGGCGATCACCTTCAATTTGCTTGGTAATCATGTCGGTGGGGAGACTGATGTAGACGGGTCGACTGCGAATCCAGCATTCACGGATGGCGTTGTCGATAAGTGTTGCAGCCTCCAGTGTCTCGTTCAAGCGACCGAGGGTACAGGAGATGCCTGCACTCATCTTCGCAAACACATTGAAGTCGCCGTTTCCCAAGGTGTGGTGCAGCAACATGCCATCCTTCTGAGACTTGGTGTTGGGCTGACCCACGATATGAACAACTGGCACAAACTCGGAGTACGAACCAGCGATGGCATTGAGCGCTGAAAGCTCACCCACGCCGAAGGTGGTAATCAGGGCACCGATTCCGTTGACCCGAGCATAGCCGTCGGCGGCATATCCTGTACGTTGTTAGGTTGTCCACGTTAGTTATGACAATGAGTGTCATCAAGGTAGTACAATTCCAACAGTAGGATTGGTTCAGACATACCGGCGTTGAGTTCATTGCAATTGCCCACCCAATGGAGGCCACACTTTGGCAGATAGTCCAAGGCTGCGAGGTTGTAGTCGCCTAGTATAATTCATGATGGTTAGCGGGATCTAGCACTCCCCAAATTCCCCCAAAGTAAGTCGCACCTGGAACGCCATGCACAGAGCGAACGCCAACCTCGTGCAAACGATGGAAGAGGTACTCGGCAACCGTGATGGGCTTCCGAAGATCCCGGGTAGCGATATCGGTCGCCATCACGTTGAATTGAGCAGTGTGAGAAGATGGGGGTTGATAAAGCTAGTATGGAAAGAAGCGCGAGAAGTATTGGATGTGTCTGAGAAGATGATATTTACTATGTGTTTGAGGAGTGAAAGAGTATTAATAGGTGCCTCTGACTGTCGCAACCAGGGAGTCTAGTCTAGTCTGGAACCCAGTGTGGCCGTACGTCATGAATGAAAGGGCACGCGTGATGTCATGCTGTAGAGGTGGGACTCGAGACAAAAATAGTGTCACCGAACTACAATACTCACGCAAACAGCCACACCATGCGACAGTGAATGGCAGCGGGATCTCCGGGATCATTCCTACTGGATAGGTATTTCATGCTTTGCGTGAATTCCAGGAGATCTCCGACCGTGATGGCATGGATGGGGTGGTTTGATGGTATATTGCTGTCGAATAAGCTATGGCGGAACCCTGAAAGTAAGAGATGCTGCGGAAGCAGCGATAAACTGATAACAGCAGGTGCACTAGTTTCAAAAAGCAAGCAAGTCAATCCGGCCGAAACCACTTTGCAGTAAGAACGCAGCAAGTAACCGGCCGTCACTCCACCAAGTGGGATGATGATCGCCCGCTTTGCCGCTATTCCTTTTGTGGAATTTTAAACCCCCCCGCGCCATGCCTACCCTTATCTGTTGGGAACCCTCGTGTCACCAGTAGTGCATCTAGAACTTCTAGGACCAGCTTAATCTCACCACTAAGCTTGAATCTTCCCTGTCAACTCGGACAACCGGGCAACGTGCGTGCACTCCCTGCGGTCAATTCCCCTCCCCACTTGCCCACGCACAAATCCCGTACCGGCATCCCATCCCATTCACCCGCGCATTAACATCTGTCGATGGCTGGATCAGGAAAGAGAGCCATGCCTGATAGGAAATCCGTTCAGCCTGCTAAGAAGAGAAAGGTTCGCCCCATCTGATGTCCGTGGCATGTTGACCACAGACATCTCCCATTGGCTTTTCCCCATCTAGTAATTGATAGCTAATGTGTGGCGGCACAGGGAGGTGGCCAATGGCAGAAACACCAACAAGGCAACAAGTCGGGTATTGAGGGAGGCGACTGGGGAGTTTTCGTGTCGTGCGACTTGGGAAAGGAAGGAAAGTGTATGGCAGAGGTAGTGGATGTTTTCTCGCAGGTTAGTAGCATGAAGGGCAGACTTTGCGCATAGGAAAAAAAAAAAACCCACGGTATCTGGCAGACTGATAAATGCTCCTCAATCTAACTTATTTTGTTTTTTTATCTCCAGAGTGTGGAGTCATCCAGCAGTGACAGTTATGGAGACAAGCCCGACTCGGATGAGGAGGATGACGATGATGACATCGAGGCCCTAATCAGAAAAGAGGTCGAAGGACTGAAGCCCAGCGCGAGCAAGTCGCGCCCGTTTCATGCCATCAGAATGGATTTGCCGTGTCGTGCGTTACCCTCATTATCCTCCTTAAAACTGATCTAAGTTTGAGAGACACTAATATGTTTCAGTGTTGTTTGTGCGATTTGACAAATCCATCAATCCAGAGGAAATGGTACATAAACTTTGCTTAGATGCAGCTGCCAACCCTGAAAAGAAGCGATCTCGATACATCCAACGCATGACACCTGCAATTTCCGTTCGCAAAACTCTCAGTGTCGACCTGGAGTCTTTTGCACGGGAAGTCCTCAAACCGCATTTCCATTCCGGGGGGCCTCCCAAGAAGGTGAGTCTCGCCAAGGCCTAGACGGTCATGAGGTTTCATTGACCAGAAAATTTCAGTACGCAATTCGGCCTGTCGTGCGAAGCAACAAGAAGTTCAATCGCGACATAGTCATCAAGACTGTTGCAGATGTCGTGGGGCCCGAGCATCCTGTTGATCTCAAGAACTATGACTTGATCATCCTCGTCACCGTTATCCAGGTCAGTTCTCTACGGCCGTGGCTTCTATGCCACTCATTCAGAACCCATTACTGACAATAAACTATCAGAATGTCATTGGCATGAGTGTTGCCGGAAGCGACTACGATCGGTTAAAGAAGTATAACCTGGCCGAGTTATACAGTCCAGCAGCGACATCAGAGGCAGAGGCCGCTGAATCTACGAAGGACTAACCCCACATTCTCCCCGAGGAACTTTTGGACGAACAACTGGCGTAGGGCAAATCTTGAATGAGTGGCGAAGTGTGATCGCCTCATCAGTTCCACGAAGACAAAAGCTAGAAATGTGTATATACAAAGTTTGCGATATCCTAACAACTGAATTGCCCTCTCTTCCTGATTTCTCCTCTATGAGCCACTGAACTTTAGAGCCGACACATGATGCGTAGAAACCGGCATTTTAGTTCGAAATGGTGTAATAAAGAGATAAGAGGCTATGGCAAGGGGAAGCATATTTCATCTAATCCCCGCTCGAGGGACGGTCCGGCTGCCAATAGCCTGATCGGAGGCCAAACAGAACAGGGTTGTGCCCAAAGTTACCCAAGAAGCACAAAATACATAAGGAGGCACAAGCCGCCTACCTCCTGCGAACATTGTGCGAATGGTAACCAAATAACAGGCAAGATATATCATCGTAGGAGCAGTACTACTTTATTCTATGCATAGACTATGGAAACTAAATAGATTGAGTCCGCTGCAACATCGGCGTTCGAACCGGCCGATACAACCGGGGAGATGCGCATTCGGCAAGACCCGCCTGTGATTGGCCCGGTGTGGATGCAACCCTGCATGGCGCCTTTCTCAGAGCGGGAGCCTTAGGCGAGCTGCGTCTCCATGGATCACAACTCTTTCCTTCGCTTCCTGACCAATACTCCAATGATGCTTCTTGGGGTCTTCTTTCTCCAGTTTAAACAGTGGGGATCCCGGACGGATGTCCCCTTCAGTAAGGGGCTTCGGATATGGATCTTCCGCTTCGCTTAATGTTTTCAAATAAGGGATATGCTCCTTGTCCTCGGTAACGGGTCCCTCCATCATCTGACGCTCAGAAACGAGATTGATCGACTGGTTTCCCTGTTCCTAGTATTCCTTAGCTGTTGCTGCTTTGTGGGTTAGACAATCTATTACCTTCCTTGTTGGATTGCAGTAACCTACGCCTTACCTCTGTTCCATGTCCGGGCCCCAGTGTATCCCCGGGTTGCGGCCGCCTGGTCTTTCTCCCCGATGACTGCAGTAAAGATTTGCTCGCTCAGGTTATATTTGCTTACTTTCCCCCCAACAATATGGATCATCATATTATATCTCGTACTGGTAGCGAGCATGCGAGCGCTAAAGCAGAAGAGCTGAAGTGTTGCGCGAAATGTCGCCTTCTTTATCTACTATCTTAGTTCCTGACCTTGAACCTTCTTATACTCTCGGCTCCATCCTTCAACGCCACTTTTCTTCTTCGGTGCAAGTCAAAGGAGTCTATCCGCTCAAGGGCCATCTACATTCAATAAGTCGTCTCGTGCTATCGAATGGGGTCCAACTGCTTCTGAAGTGTTCTCCAGGGTCGACAACACCTCTCTTACGACGAGAACAGCTTCTACTTGAGACTGAAGCCCGTGCTCACTCCATCCTGGTTCAACAAGACACTCCATATATCCCATCTTTTCTGCATTATGGTCTCCATGGGGGACCGTTGGGCTCTGCCTTCTTAGTAAGACACTATATCAACGGGGCGACACTGCAGGAGCTGGAAGCCGCGCTTACCATGCAAGAGCGGGATGATCTCAACCGGGCCTTGGGGTCATTAGCTCGTGAGATCGGACAGAATTTCTCCAGCTCCTTTGGCTCACTAGACCAGGTAGCCTGTGGATCAGGGAAGCAGTCCTGGCGAGAAGCGTTCGTGACACTTCTAGAAGGCATTCTTCGGGACTCTGAAGATGCCTTTGTTCATCTTCCATATGCGGAGATTCGAAACCAAGTTCGTCGGCTGTCCCCTGCACTCGAGGAAATCACGTCACCGCAACTAGTGATTGTTGGACTAGGCCGACCGTCGCAGGTGGTGCTGAATCCGGGGTCGAAGAAGCTTGCAGGACTTCTAGGGCTCGAGAATACTCTCTGGGGCGATGTGCATATGGCGGAGATCTTTGAGGCGCCGTCTCCCGCTGTGTGGGAGGGCTTTGGTACTCGACTGAAGGCAAATAAGGCCCAGGTGGCCCGTCAATTACTGTATGTGATCTCTAGATGAGACTGCAGAAGGTGGTATATAGTCTGTGTGCTGACTGTCGACCTCTTAGGTATGCCTGCTATCGTGCTGTGCACCAGGTTACGATACACTACTACCGCTATCAGGGAATGGCCGCCGAGATCGATGCTAGGAGACGGCTAACGTCGATATTAGCTGAAATGGCCTCGGTAGACGGAATTTGCACGTTATGTTAACTTGCGATATTCAGGGACATTGATGTATCCTGGAAGATTATATAGATGGATCTGAGACACACATTAGTTGGCTCGATCGGCCGGGCCGATCTGCAGCCAGACTTTTGGGAGTCTCAAGAATGGGAAAGGTCCCTAGTGCTACATAGCAGTGTTCGATTATATGCCTACACGATGATTACGACTTTGATCGGTTGCGGAGAAATCATATGAAAATCAAAGCCAATAGTCCAATGCAAGATTCGGTCATATCGGCATGGAAGCTGTCTTGGCGATGATTTGTTGCTGCCTACGAAGTTTGGCGAAGTCCTCGTTTGGAAGTTGATTTCCACCCAGATGAGAGATTTGGTTCCTGAAAAAATACGAACTCATTCTGTGCTGGAACCAATACGAAGAGCCCTGTTGGAGAACATGGCAATGTAGAACCCTACACACAATTGAGCAGTGGTAGAGAAGGACTGATCATCATTGTAATCTTCAACAAGCGCGAGCCAGCAAGGGATCCCCATTTGAATCCCGCGGCGGGCGGGGCACAACGCACTAAGCTGGACTAGTCAATCACCTTCAAAGGTCAGTCAGCCTTAATGGCGTCAACCGTTTGGGTGGATTTCCGCGGTTGTCATTGAAACAACCACTTCTTCCTCCTCTTCTTGCTCCTCTGCCGCGGGGTGTCGTCGCAGCTTTATTTTTATTGTCATTTTATGATTTAAGTAGCTCTTATATACTACCTCTCAAGCGACTTCTCATCTTCCTTTCCCTCTTTCTCCTCCTCTCCAACCCCATCCCTTGAGTTCCGTATCCGCCAGAATGGCGCATTTTCTGCGGGGAAAGCAGGCCGGCATTCAAAAGGACTTCTCCGAGAACTTGTCGCCGGACTTGTTCGCCCTCGATGATGTATATCACTAAGCAACGCCCCCAATATTCACCTTACTCGATCCTGTCTCGTGCATTGCATACTAATCTCCTGCTGTTGCTGCTCATAGTTCGCTCGATGCGGTATAAACTCCCAGATCAGTGCGATCGCGTACGATCCCGTCCAGTCGCTCCTCGCCGTCGGAACAAGCGACACACAATTCGGCCATGGTCAGATCTACGTCTTCGGTCAACGACGAGTAGCGGTGGTGTTCTCGCTACCGCGGAAAGCGTCTGCCAAGTTCATTCAGTTCTGCGCCGATAAGCTCGTCAGTGTCGACTCGAAAAGTGAAATCAGCATCTTCTCCTTAGAAACTAGACAGACGCTTGTCTCGTATGCTCCGCCGAGTCATGCGAGCGCTTTACTGACCGACCCGAGTCTCGATTATGCTTTTATTGGCTTACAGAACGGTATGGGGTATATTGAATTGGATTGTAAAGTTTCTCGTGCTGACGAGGTATCCTTGATTAGGTGATATCATTGCCTACGATCTGGATCGTGAAACTTTGACGCCGTTCCGTGTGCCCAACTTGTGGGCCCAGCGCAATGCCCGTGTTCGCCTTTGTCCTGTTCTCAGTCTCTCCTTTTCGCCTCGGGATATTGGGAAGATCTTGGTGGGATACCCCGAAGGTGCTGTGACGTTTTCCTTCAAGCAGAATGTTGCTCAAAAGTATTTTGAATATGAGGTCCCACCCGGTGCTCTGGGAGGAAATGGTGATATTCCGGCGTCGGAAATGCGCCGGCCTCGACTGACTAGGGCCCTCTGGCACCCGAACGGTATTTTCGTGTTGACGGTGCATGACGATAATAGCTTGGTTTTCTGGGACTCGAAGGACGGCCGCAAAATTATGGCCAGATCTATCAATACCCCCAACGTTGACCAGCCGGGCGTAAGCCCCGAACGACCCCAGTCGGCTACCGGGCTCAAAGACCCAATCACCAACATCGCGTGGTGTGTGAAAGACAACGGAGATGACAGTGGACTTTTGATCGCTGGCGGTCGACCGAAAGCTGAAGCCAACAAAGGACTGACTTTTATCGATCTGGGACCGACCCCTAATTATCAGACTTCCTCGTGGGCAATGATCGCAAAGTACTTCGAGACCCCGAAACGCACCGCAATCCTACCTACTCCCCCCGGTGCGGAAGTGGTCGACTTCTGCCCCATCCCTCGTAGTACTCCTTACTATGGCGGCGCCCATGACCCCATTGCATTGCTCGCCCTCTTGTCCTCAGGAGAAGTCATCACGATGAGCTTCCCTAGTGGTCATCCCATCACTCCGACAAACATGCTCCATCCTTACCTTAGTTTCGTGCATCCCTTCGTGAATAAGGTCACCCTGACGTCAGTCGATCGTTCTGCTTGGCTGGGATTAAAGGAGAAAAGATCACAGGGACCTAAGTTTTTGCTCGGAGGGGCGGAGGTAAGGAAGCCGTTAAAGCGCTTCGAAGATCGTAATGTTCTTACGACGGCTCATGCCGATGGCACTATTCGCATCTGGGATGCTGGTGTTGATGACGAGATCGAAAACGGGGACGTCGTTCAAGTGGACCTGGCCCGAGCTGTTGGCCGTGTCGGAAACGTAGAGGTGACCGAGATGTCTTTTGGAGGCTCAACGGGTGAGCTCTCAGTCGGCCTGCGCACCGGCGAGCTCGTCGTCTTCCGATGGGGAAACAACCAGAGCTTTGGTCGTGAAGAGGCTCCAGGCGCCAACGAAGGGCCTGGAAAATTGACCAAGATCACTCACAGAGTCGACCCTGGACTGAAGACGGGTATCCTTCCACTGACACTCCTGAACATGCAGCAAGGCCCAGTGACTGCCTTGAAGCATAGTCAAGTGGGCTTTGTCGCTGTTGGATTCGAAGGAGGTAGTCTAGCAATCCTGGATTTGCGCGGGCCCGCAATCATCCACACAGCTCACTTTTCTGAGCTGTTCAAGGTGAACAAGCGAGGCAGTATCTTCAATAAGCGCAGCTCTGAGAGCCCGGCTCCTGAATGGCCCACCAGCATTGAGTTTGGTGTGCTGACTCTTGAGGGTGAAGGTGAGAATACTAGTCTATGTGATGTGGATAGTGCTGACGTCTCGCAGATTATTCCAGTATTTGCTGCTTCGTGGGTACTAACAGAGGCAACCTGGCCACATTCAAGATTCTGCCAGGGGAGGGTGGGCGCTACTGTGCTCAATTTGTCGGCACAAGCTTGCTGGATGACAAGGTTATTAACATCATTCCCGTCAACGCAGACGACGGCGGACTTGCATTGGCCACCCCCAATTCTGTTGGAGGTTTGAGAAACGGTGTCCGCGTTCATGGTGTCGTCGTCGCGGTGACTGTTTCCGGGTGCAGAATCTTTAAGCCAGCAACTTCCAAGGGTGCCCATAGGTCTTGGGATGACTACCTTTGCGATTCCGCCGCGGTTGTCAAGACCGAGGCTCGCGGATACAGTCTGGTTGGGCTTTTCGGAGACGGATACACGCGAGCGTTCTCGATCCCTGGTCTGAAAGAGATTGGCGCCAGCCCAATCAATCAGATTGCTGATATGAGACGCCTCTCGGATGCCACGATCTCCTCCAACGGCACCGTCATGGTCTGGACCAGTCCTTCTGAAGTGGGCTTATTCAGTGTTTGGGGAGGAGGACACGGACTGTACGCAACTTCTCGCATTATAAATAAGGGCTGTGAATACTAACAGACTATATAGACGCCAATCCGAAGACCAGCTCTACAACCCGCAAGCCGTCATGCCCCCACGACCCACGATCACCAACATCCAGTGGATCTCAGGAACTCAATACGTTTCCCCAGCCGATATGGACATTCTCAGTACGTATACTCCCCTAACTAGCCTACAATTGGCGACTGACCCATAACAGTCGGCGGTCCCGACCGGCCACCATCCAAGCGCATGCAGGAGCAGATGCGCCTAGACGAAGAGGAGCGCCGCAAAGCATTCCGGGAAGGCAGAACCCCGACGAACAAATCGTCGAGCAGCCAGGAAGGATACTTTTCCTACATGTCGCGCCAAGTGCAGGAACGCACCGAACGGCTCAACTTTGCCGGCGACAGCATGGATCGGCTGGAAGAGAGCAGCAGCAACTTTGCTCGCGACGTGAACAAGTTTGTCAGTAACCAGAAGAGGAAGGCAGTCCTTGGCGGTACGTATCCCTCCTCTTTCTCAGAGACTAAGCTAACGAATTATAGCACTCGGCTCGAAGTTCGGCTTCTAGATGCATACTACAGTGACACGAACCTAAGAAGAAAAAGAAGCGTTCAGCAGTAACGGCTGAGTACATTAGACCCATTATTCCTACCATATCTTACCATACCATACCCATGCTTTTGTTGGCGCTTTTTTGAGTGCTGTTTCTGTGTTGAATCAAGTGCTTCAACCTATTTCTCGGATTCAATCGAGCTTCTTCAGATCTTCAAACCATAAACGTAATGTGCTCATGCAGATAGTTATCTATCCACACGGTAGAAACATAGTACGTGGAATCCACCAATTACACCGCCCAACTAAACACCACTGGGATGAACCTACTCAGCAATCATCAAGAATAGTAAATATTAGACTAATCCTATATTTTTTTAACCACAAGCCCCAATAATCAAGGATACATCCACACTCATCACCAACTCTCTATTCCCATAGACAGCCATGGTAACACTCCCCACAAGATACAACAGACCTCCACTAAATGAAGAAAAGAAAGAAAGAAAGAAACCTTACGCAAGCGCAAGGACCCCTCTCACTCCCCCTTACCATAGCAAGTAAAAGAAAGCAAACCCATAGGTACTACAATGTAGGAAGGATACTTCACTTTCCTTGCTTCAATCCTTATCTCACCTACTTTTCGGGCGACTAGATAGATATACTCTGTCTTCACCGCAGTCTTTCTGACCTAACATCTTCCAAGTAGTAGAATGTTCAAGGGATATTGTGTTACCATTCAGACAAATGATATCAAGGATCGTTATGCTGATCGCTATAGTACGAAGTACTAAATAACTAACTATTGTAAAGCTCAGTAACACTTCATATTCCGCATTGTTATCACGCGAGTGGATTGGGCCAGAATGGAACAATAAAAAGTTGCTGAGTGGTGAAGTTACACAGCAGAAAAAGCGGGATTTAATATTATTCGATATAGGACAAAATTTGTATGATGTATGTATGCATTGTAGATCAATGCCATAATGCAGGCTACTTGATTGTTTGGATTTTACCCCGTTGGGAATCTTGCTTTTGGCCTTGCGTTGGTTCTCCCCATTGTAGTGATGTACACTGTTAGGGATGCATGCAGTTGCCATGGTAGTTTTGATTCTTCAGATTGCCCTTGCATTTGATGCGGTGAGGAATGTGGAGGGGTAAGATAGTAGTGAAGAAGGTGGAAATCAAGTATGTGCATTTTTTCGAATTATGTTGGTTTTGGCTGGTCGGGTCTATGTCATAAAGCTAAATACTTGCAGGGATATGATAGATGATATGTTG